CCTTTCTGATGGAGGTGTAATACTCCATAGTGTGTATGGATCACATCTTCCTTATCCATTCGTACGTTGAAGGGCTTCTTGGTTCTTTCCACAGTTTGGCGACCGTGGCTATTGCTGCTATAAACATTGGGGTACAGATGGCCCTTCTTTTCACTACATCTGTATCTTTGGGGTAAATACCCAGTAGTGCAATTGCAGGGTCATAGGGAAGCTCTATTTTTAATTTCTTGAGGAATCTCCACACTGTTTTCCAAAGTGGCTGCACCAACTTGCATTCCCACCAACAGTGTAAGAGGTTTCCCCTTTCTCCACATCCCCTCCAACACACGTTGTTTCCTGTCTTGCTAATTTTGGCCATTCTAAATGGTGTAAGGTGGTATCTCAATGTGGTTTTAATTTGAATCTCCCTGATGGCTAGTGATGATGAACATTTTTTCATGTGTCTGATAGCCATTTGTATGTCTTCATTGGAGAAGTGTCTGTTCATATCTTCTGCCCATTTTTTTATATGATTGTCTGTTTTGTGTGTGTTGAGTTTGAGGAGTTCTTTATAGATCCTGGATATCAACCTTTTGTCTGTCCTGTCATTTGCAAATATCTTCTCCCTTTCCGTGGGTTGCCTCTTTGTTTTGTTGACTGTTTCCTTTGCTGTGCAGAAGCAATCAGACAACAAAGAGAAATAAAAGGTATCCAAATTGGCAATGAAGAAGTCAAACTCTCTCTCTTCGCAGATGACATGATTCTTTATATGGAAAACCCAAAGACTCCACCCCCAAACTACTAGAACTCATACAGCAATTTAGTAACGTGGCAGGATACAAAGTCGATGTACAGAAATCAGTGTCTTTCTTATACACTAACAATGAAAATACAGAAAGGGAAATTAGAGAATCGATTCCATTTACTATAGCACCAAGAACCATAAGATACCTGGGAATAAACCTAACCAAAGAGGTAAAGGATCTGTACTCAAGGAACTACAGAACACTCATGAAAGAAATTGAAGGAGACACAAAAAGATGGAAGACCATTCCATGCTCTTGGATCGGAAGAATAAACATTGTTAAAATGTCTCTACTGCCTAGAGCAGTCTATACTTTTAATGCCATTCTGATCTCCACTGGTATTTTTCAAAGAGCTGGAGCAAATAATCCTAAAATTTGTATGGAATCAGAAGAGACCCCGAATCGCTAAGGAAATGTTGAAAAACAAAAACAAAACTGGGGGCATCACATTACCTGATTTCAAGCTTTACTACAAAGCTGTGATCACCAAGACAGCATGGTACTGGCATAAAAACAGTCACAAAGACCAGTGGAACAGAGTAGAGAGCCCAGATATGGACCCTCAACTCTATGGTCAAATAATCTTCGACAAAACAGGAAAAAATATACAGTGGAAAAAAGACAGTCTCTTCAATAAATGGTGCTGGGAAAACTGGACAGCTATATGTAGAAGAATGAAACTCGACCATTCTCTTACACTGTACACAAAGATAAACTCGAAATGGATAAAACACCTCAACGTGAGACAGGAATCCATCAGAATCCTAGAGGAGAACATAGGCAGTAACCTCTTCGATATCAGCCACAGCAAATTCTTTCAAGGTATGTTTCCAAAGGCAAAGGAAACAAAAGCGAAAATGAACTTTTGGGACTTCACCTTGTGCATTTCTTGACCCAGCCCTAGAATTTCAGGCATTTTCCTAAGGAGCTTTGATTCTTTTTATTAGAGAATGGTATTAAAAACTATGAACTGGGCACTAGGTATGCTTGTTGTACTGGGTATCATTGCTTCTAGGCTCTTCCAGCTGACCAATCAGGGAAATATACATGTGTATACCAACCCAGGTTTATGCACAGATTGGTAATATTTTTGTATGTAACTGTCTCTTCTATATCAAGCCAAACCCGAGTTCATACTGATGTCTCTAATCCATTTCCGCATGTTTCACTTCAGCATTTTCCCCATGCTTGTTTGTGAACTCTCCCTGTAACAGTGAGAAACCTGGCTGCTCCCATCCATCTATATGCTTCTTTGTTAAATGCCAGTAACCCATGGATAATGGTTTCAGTGTTGTTCACTTGTACTCCAGACTCTGTGGGAAACTTTACCAACTGAATGCAGTGCTTAGGTACAGTTTCTTTGCCTTTGGTCTTAAAGACTCCACTCATTTCCAGTGTGACTTTAGGTCAGCACCTTTTGTTTCTTCCTCACTCCCTGCAGTGAGGTTATTTCATACCTTTTTACTATATTTAGATTCTATTGTTACAGTCTGCATTCCAACCTGGGATTAAAAAAAATAAAACTGAATAAATAAAATAAGTTCAATTAATTTAAATAACTTTAAATTTTATATTTAATACATTTCATTTTATATTTATATAAGTTTGTATCTTAAACCCCCCAACTATAAAAAAATATAGTTTTTGGGGTGCCTGGGCCTCTCAGTCAGTTAAGTGTCTGCCAGGGTACTGGGATCAAGCCCTGCCGGTATCAGGTTCTTTGCTGTGTGTGTGTGTACACACACACACACACACACACACATGCACATATATGGTTTTTCAATCATGGTCACCCAAACAATTAAAACTTTTGAGCACACATTTTTAATATTTGCTTTTTAAAAAAGTGGTTTATTGGGAGGGAGACAAACCATAAGTGACTCTTAATCTCACAAAACAAACTGAGGGTTGCTGGGCAGAGGGGGGTTCGGAGGGGGGGGGTTATGGACATTGGGTAGGGTATGTGCTATGGTGAGTGCTGTGAAGTTTGTAAACGTGGAGATTCACAGACCTGTACCCCTGGGGGAAAAAAAAATATATATATATATGTTTATAAAAAATAAAATTATTAAAAAAAAATTTAAAAAAAAGTGGTTTATATCTGTGCTTTCCTACTGTTATATAATTAGAAATACTAACAGTTTCTACCTGTTTACCTGCAGTTTGCGGGGTGGGAGGGCTGCCCTTTTAGAGGACAAGGGCCATAGGTTCTCTGAAGTTTCCAAAAGCTCATATGTGTGTGTGTGTTTGTAATGTAAGATGCATTTTCTGACAGGAAGAAATGTAATAAGTAATGACTTGCTTCCCAGTCTCACCCACAAAATCCCACTCAGTTACTTATTTATTTCCAGCCACAATAGTGGCATTTTACTTATCTCTGACCCCATGGATAAGACTGTTATCTGGATAAAAAGAAAACCCAAGTTCCACGTGAGTTCTTAAGATTGTCTTTTGACAGAGACTGAAGTTTTTTGAGGCAAATTGTAGGACAGTAGGACCTGCAGAAGTATCTTGATACAGGCAGAGTACACACTGGAGCTTCTCTTCTGGTAATGATGAACTTGGCAATTCAGGAATGAAGGTGAAATGAGGTTATTTTCAGCTAAACAAAAACAGAGGGTGTTTACTACTATAAGATCGGCAGGAAAGGAAACTTTATTTTTTATTTTTATTTTTTAAAGATTTCATTTATTTATTTGACAGACAGGGATCACAAGTAGGCAGAGAGGCAGGCAGAGAGAGAGGAAGGAAAGCAGGTTCCCCACTGAGCAGAGAGCCCAATATGGGGCTCGATCCCAGGACCCTGAGATCATGACTTGAGCCAAAGGCAGAGGCTTTAACTCACTGAGCCACCCAGGTACCCCAGGAATAGAAACTTTAGATAAGCACTATCCAATAGAACTTTTGAAGATGATGACAATGTTCTCTATATTTGCCATGCAGGAGCCTTTAGCTACTTGTGGCTAGTGAGCACTTGAAATGAGTCTCTAATGAGACCAATGAACTGAATTTTAAATTTTGTTCTGTTTTACTTACTTTATGCTTAAATAGCCACACGTGGCTGGTAGCTACCCTATTAGACAGTGCAGCCTAAAATATATACTTCACATAAGAGGAAAATGATCCCAGATAAAAGGTATAGATATAAGAAGAAATGAAGAGTAAAGAAGTTACTAAATATATAGCCAAAAGTAAATTAACACTCATGTTATGAAATAATAATAATAGTATCTTAAAGTTTTGAGAGCATACAAAATTAAAATATATGACAGTAGAAGGCATATAAATAGAGTGAAGTTGAGGTAAATGGAGGAGTTCTGTCATTCTGGATTGTCTGGGAAGAGGATAATGTTATTCATAAACATAAGTTTTTATAATTTAAGGATACATGGGGGTAGGATAAAGACTAAAAGAATAGAAAATAAGTGTAAAAGTATATAAATTTTAAACTAGTAGGGAGATAAATGGAATACCAAAAAATACAAAACCAAAAGAAAGCAAGAAAAGAAATGGAATACCAAAAAATACAAAACCAAAAGAAAGCAAGAGAAGAAACAGAATAGGAGTAAGGAATATGAAGCACCGTAACAGTGGTAGGTTTTCAAGCCCACATGCTCTGTCATGATTTTAATATGTACATTTACTCATATTTTTACATTTCTGCAATTGGGAGGCATATGATGGATTGTGGCATCGCGTGAGTCCTACCAGGTTGCACTAACATGTCAGAGGTTTTTTTGGTCATCAGTTGAATTTTGTGGATCATTGCTTTTTTTTTTTTTTTCTTCATTTTATTTATTTTTTTCAGCGTTCCAAGATTCATTGTTTATGCCCCACACCCAATGCTCCATGCAATACGTGCCCTTCTTAATACCCACCACCAGGCTCACCCAACCTCCCCACCCTCTCCCCTCCAAAACCCTCAGTTTGTGTCTCAGAGTCCACAGTCTCTCACGGTTCATCTCCCCCTCCGATTTCCCCCAACTCACACATCTTTCCTTCACCCAATGTCCTCCGTGTTATTCCTTATGCTCCACAAGTAAGTGAAACCATGTGATAATTGACTCTCTCTGCTTGACACTGCCTTTTACAGTGGCAGCTGGGAGGCCAGCAGCCAGCCCCGGATCAGCACAGGATTAGGGGAGCTAAGGAATGCAGTGGGCTAGCCTAGGCCTGGCATGCTGAGAGCATACATCGGACTGCTGTGGCGGCTGCCTGGCTCTTGTGCCATTGCTGTTGGCCCCGCTGCCATGATCTTACTTGGTCATGTGGATTTTCCTCTGAATGAACCAGCTGTTACTGGATTTGTGAAGCACAACCATACTTGTTAACTGACAAGAGCAAATGCAATACAAAATAATAAAAAAGCAAGTAAATTGCCAACAGGCTGTAGGGAGAAGCTGGCTCTGGTGGTCTTGAACAAGGAAGGTCCCTTGGGGATGTGTTGCATGTCACCACTGAAGAAGAGTGAACAGAGATGAGGTGGACAGGAGTGTCAGTGATGTCCTGGAGTGCTCCTTAAGGAGAGCGGAAAGAAGGATATTTTTCTCTGGATTGTGGGACCCCACCTGGCTGAACTCTGGGACTGGAGTAAAGAACCAGCAGGAGAACAGACTTGGCTGCACCTCCCAGGCTCAGTGTCTGGCCTATACCCTGTGTCTCCCCTTTCCTTCTATTCATGTGCCTTTCCTATACCTTCACTGTCGAACTGGACTGGCAGCCACACAGCCTGTTTCAAGTGCCTTGAAACGTGTTCAATGGATGTGGCACAGTTCTTGGCAGAGTGACACTACTCCCCAGGAATTTGTTTGTTCCCTCAGTGTGGAAAATGGCAGGCAATGGATGATGACGTAACACCTAATAACCCAAGACGCTATTTATTACTGGGTAAAGGAATGCTGCTGTTACGTTTGCATGCACACTCCCAAACTGATTCTTCAAAGTAAGGACCAGACCTGGCCCCTCCACATCAGAGATCCCAAAGGGAGAAGACAAGCCGAACTCCAGGAACCACAGCGCGTGCAGATCCCTGGCTCAGGTAAGGGGTACTGACTTGCGCTGAAGAGGCCAACTGACATAGATAGGGAAGCAGAGCAGGGTCTGGCCCTGCCTTGCTTTTTCCCCAGAAGCATGACTCCTGTGGATTTTCTGAATCTCTAAATATTGTCTCTGATTCCTGCCCAGACCGCCTGCTCTCAGCCCCAAGAGCAGCCTGTTGTCTGCCAGGAGCGCTTCTGCTGACAGGCAAAGCATTGCTGGAGGGCTAGGCAGACACTGAGCTTTGGAGACATGGAAACCCTGATAACGCTATCTCTGATTTCCAGATTCTAGAGAAGACTGATTTCAGAATCTAGAAAGTACTGGTGTTCAGAAAAGAGATTTTGGAAGTCTCTGTATTTTGAGTGTTCTTAGGTGAAAAGAGATCCGCCTCAGACGGCTGAATGCACTACTTCTCTAGGGAACTCTCCGGAAGCCACCTGCGTTTATTTTGATGCTGGTGGCAAATTCCATAGCAGCTCACAGGGACATCCCAAGTACCTCAGTCTGTAGGTATCATTCTGTCCTCCGTCAGAACCACCATTGTCTTCATGTATCTGGGTACCTACATTTATTTCTGCCACACGTTTCTTATTCTGATATCATGTGGCTGCGAAATTCTCTGCCTTCTCAGATGCCACCAATTCCCTGTGTCCCTTGATGTATCCCCAAACTGCAAAAGCAGTTGCACTTTGTAGGTTTGGGGGAGAACCAAATAACAAATAAGTGAAACTCAGATAGTGGCTATCCATGCCCTTAAAGATCTATCAGGTGTCTCTGCCTCCGAGAGCCACTCCCCTGTCTTTCATTGTCTTTGCTGCTGAGTCCTGGAGCCCTCTCATGTCATTTTTAATTTTTGCAAAAGCATCTAGTTCCCTTTGTCTCACTCCTAAGCCCTTCTCAGAGGATTGGGTTTCCACACAGACTGCCCACCTCTGCAAACTAAAAGTGGTGTGATCCTTGAGAATTCACTTACCTTCGGGTTTTTCATCTGTTAAATGGGAATAACAATTTTCCCTCACTTCCCTTACTCTGATGTCCTGAAATAATGTTGGGGAAAGTTCTTTGTGAACTGAGTGAGACGTGCCCTGCAGAATTGAGGGGTGTTTGGAAATCTCTCTCCTCTAAGCCCTCGTTGTGAAGAGCTCCTGTGTTATCTCTTCCCCAAGATATTAAGAGTTGAGCCTTCTGGGACCTTTGGAGGCTTAGTTTGCTAAGAGGCTTCAAAGAAACTGACTTTCTTTGCAAAGATTAGACTATAGCAGAGGGTCAGCAAACTTTTCCTGTAAATGTTGGGACAGTCAGTATTTTTGTGTGTTTGTGTGTGTGTTATGTTAGTCACCATACAGTACATCATTGGTTTTTGATGTAGTGTTCCATGATTCATTGTTTGAGTGTAACACCCAGTGTTCCATACAATCCGTGCCCTCCTTAATACCTATCTGGTAATGGGTATTAAGGACAGTCAGCATTTTATGCTTTGCTGACCAGATGATCTGTCTTTCAAATACTCATCTCGGCTGTTAAAGGCAGAAAGCAGCCATAAACAATGTATAAAAAAGGACATGGTTGTGTTCCAATAAAACTTTATTTAAAAAAATAGGCAGTGGGACAGATTTGACCTGTGGGCTGTAGTTTGATAGCCCCAGAACTAGAGCAATAATACACTTTGAACTCTTGATTACATTTTTATCAAATGTTGTCAAGATCCATAAAAATCATATCATGACCCACAGTTTGGAAACATTGCTTTGAAGGGCAAAAATCAAAGAAAGAGTGATAGAAGAAGCATGGTCAAGTCTTACAAAGACTTCCTGGACACAGCAAACATTTCTAAGCAGAGAACAAGGATGATGGATAATCAGCACTAGGGAAGTCCAGCAAGGTTTCCTGGGGTCAGAAGTGCCATAACTGATCTCCTTCTTGTCTACTCAGGTCCTGCCTTTCATCCCAGGCCCTTGCTGAGTCATTTCATTGTGTTAAAAATGTCATTTTTGAAGGACTTAGGTGTGAAAACGGAGTCTGAAGACCTGAGAAGAGATGAGCCCCAGTGCTGCTCAGAAGGTAAGATTTTTGCAAACATGCATACCAGGGCCAAAAATAACCCCTAAAGAAGGACCTTGCAAGTTTGCATGCAGATCTGTTCCTTCCTGTTGACTTGCATGGCAAATGACCTTTGAGAACTTCCCTGGTAAATGAATTAGATGAGAGAAATCCTTGAAGGGAAAATGAAGCTTTGCCATGGGTGCCTAGGTATATTAGGTAGTAGGTAAACAGATCACCTTCACCCACAGATCTGGGGCTTTGAAGTCCTGACCAACTGGATGGTTCTGGATCATCCAAATGCATTTCTGTCCTCCCAGCCTGCTCAAGCAGAGGTGAACGCCCTGCAGTGAAAGGGCTTGTCTGAGTCTGGGGTGGGAAAATGACACCAGCTTAGGGCTTCTGAGGGTCCCGCGGAGGAAGGCAGTTGGGTGTTGGCTCAAGGGGAATGAAAAGAAGAGGGTTTTAACTCAAATGACTGTCTAATGCATGGAGTGTGAATGGAGAGGCCTATAACATGACGGAAGCCCAACCCCTGAGCCTTCAACTCATATGTGACAGTGTTCCCAAACTAAAAATAGGACATTTGTCTGGCAAATGTGGATCTGCCAACAGACAGGTTTAGAACTATCCCTGCTCCTGGAACATGGGTCATGTGATGGCCACCGCACACATTCTGTCCCTTAGGCAGCAGGGAGAGCACACCAGGAAGGCATAAGCACTAGACATTGTAATTCCCCAACCCTGGGGAACTCCAAATGGTGACATTGAGGCCATGTCCTAATTCTGCCTCTTTGTAGGTGGCATGTGTAGAAAGGGAAGAGTCTTCTTCTGATTCCAACACAGTTCTTGAGCTCTGTCTGAACCTGGCCTGGGGCAGCTCCAACTTTCCCCATTCCTACTCACCAAGGTCCAGTCCTCCTGCTTCTTAGAAGCATAGGTGATCAGAGCTGGAGGGACAGACAGGGAAAACGAGGCTCAGAGGGGTGAGAGGTGGAATTGCCTCGATCAGCCATGTAGTTATCAAGACTGTGTAGAACCTTCATACCAGAGCACAAGTTTTGAGTGTTCTTCTTCCCTAGGTGCTATGTGCTCTCAATGTGCAAAGTTTGTTTGGATTATGGCCAGGGATTTCATGCAGGCAATTATCAAACTTAATGTTTTATCAGGTAGAAGCCTCCAGATAAGTCTCAGATTAATGTGGGCAATGTACACTATACCCCTGAATTAATGCAACACATGTATTTGTTGCAAGTAAGGAAGTTCTGCATTCAGAAACCAAGTTACCTCTATTTCATTTCCATTTCCACCATTTTTGACCAGTAAAGTTTTGTTTTATTTTGTTTTTTTAGAGAGAGAGAGAGAGACAGAGACAGAGACAGAGGTTGGAGGAAGGGCCAGTGGAAGAGGGAAAGAGAGAATCTTAGGCAGGTTTCATGGTCAGCGCAGAGCCTGACGTGGGTCTCCATCTCACAACCTTGAGTTCATGACCTGAGCTGAAATCAGGCTTAACTGACTAAGTCAGCCAGGGACCCCCAGGAAAGCTATTTTTTATGTCATTACTGTCTCTCTGCTTTAGTGTTTCTCAAAACATACAAAAAAGAAGTAAAACATTAAGTGGGCCCTGATGTTCCTAAATCCCTGGAAAATCTCAATTGTATGTGCTAACCTCACTGTCTCTGATTCCAGACTTCACCAGAAGCCTCTTGGAGCCAAACATGAACCTCCCCCCAATGAGTTCTCCCTATTCACGTAAGGCCCCTGGTTGAACTGATGAGGGTGGAGATTTGTGAGAGTGGGGATGAGGGTGATACCACTATGTTCTCTTTGGGGAGTCAGAGGATCAGAGATGGGGGGATACCTAAGGATACTGTGATGAGGCTAAGGCTTTTCCTTTGTGGAAGTGAATCTCAGGAGGGTCAGTAAGAAAGATGAACCCTGGGTGGGCCTCTGCCTTTCCAGAGAGGCGAGGTAACACATATCTGCCAAATGGCACAGGAGAAGAAAGGTTATGAACCTGGGAAACTTCCATGTCCTTCTTCTGACCTTTGCCATGCGGCTAGCTGGCAACGCTGACCTCCTCACATAATTTATGAAAAACAGAACTTGGCCAGCAGAGGGCGCACAGGAAGCTCACACAGTAGTGCCTTGGCAGCCCTCACAGATCTAGAAGTTTCTCACAGGTTACTAGATAATTTCCTGACGATCTTAAGAAAATTCAAGTGCAGCAAATGAGGGCACCTGCCCCAAGTGACACAGGTAGAAAGGCACTGTAACATCTGTCTGCCCAAGTCAGGTTTAAGGCTCCCTGTCACCACCCCTGCAAAGGCAGAGTCCAGAGACCTCAGCCTGAGTCCCATGTCTTCAGCAGGCTTCCTTCCTCCCTGGTAAACTGGCAGTTACACACTGGGGTGCTCTGTGAGGGAGGTCGTGTCAGGCACTATGGCTGCTGCCATTGCAGCTCCCACTGTTGTTTGGGAGTGGACTCCCTAGAGAAAATAATTACCAGCATGTGAAAGCCACTTACACCTCTGCTGTGGCTTTGGGAAGAAACTCTGAAGAACACATATGAGGTCAGGAATGATGTGATGTGAACTGATCCCACTAAGAGGATACCACGGGAGCCTCAGGGCACCATGATGGGAGGCCCAAGTCAGCGTGACAGGAGGGAAACCGAAGTAAAAGAAGGACAGATTCCAGAAATATTCAAGAGGCAAATGGCCCAATGCAGTGATGGAAATGCAACTTACAGAGCATGTGTAGGTGTCTCCCCAGACCAATCAGAATCTCAGGGCTCTGGGGCCCAGGCATCCATGGCCCTAAACTGTCACCCATCAGGGGATTTCCAGTGTATGGTGCTTCGCTCCTAGGTCCTTCCTGCCTTATTTCTCAACCCTGCCTTATTTCTCTTCCACTGGCCCAGCAGTGCAAGGAGCTGTCCTGCCCCAGGCATTGCTGATGCCATGTTGCCCCCATTGATAGGCTACAGGAAAGAGGGTTAAGAAGACTAAGAATAATATGTTCTGGGTCTTTTCTATGGCTCAGATACCTGGCTAAATGTTAGTCACTTGAGTAAGCATTTTGATCTTCCCAACACGTCTGCCAGATAGGTGCTATTATTAGCCCCTTTTCACAGATAAGAAGATTTAGAGAGATTTAGTAGCATTTCCTAGGTCCTAAATCAGTAAGTGATGGGACCTTGGATTACACCTATCTTTGAAAATGGATAACCCATGTTAAATTGCTTGTTCAGAGCAAGACACAAAATCTGGGTGGGAGAAATCTTCAGTGGGCTGTGATGTTTGAGGTCATAGGCAGGTGGAGGCTTGGGGCTGGGACTCTCACCTTGTAAAAGGGCAGTCTCAGGGAATTTAATCTGTAGCAAGAACAGGAGCACCCCAACCAGAGATTCATTTCACAGTTGGCCACTCCTGCTCCCATTCAAGATCCTGGTGCAGGGTGAGGCAGGTGAAGGCAAGAGCTAGGCTATCTTGGGGATAGAAGAAGACCTCTATCCATCTTGTACTCTGCTTGGCATTGAGTTACCTGTACAGAGATGACAGCTTTAGGAGTGGTATACTCTAAGCGTTTTGGATCCCAGTTACCCCAATCAATTAAACAAAACTGAGGATCTACATCTTTGAAATGTGGGCGTTATACATTATGAAACTTGCACAAAATTAGAAAATTCAGAAGGACTAAATAAAATAGAACCGACATTTAGTGGTTCCTTCCCACATTCCAGTGGACTGTCTGGTTCACCCAACCACCACGCTCCACCCCCGTCCCCACAGACACGCACCTAGCGATGTGCTGGCAAATGTTTGACAACCAGTTCTCAGGAAATGGGGGAGTGGGAGGGAGCTCTGATATGTAGCTCTTGCCAGTTTTCATGGTGTGATGATTCCCAGCATGGCTGACTTCAGACTGCCAACATGAAGTCATTGAGCATGGATTTGGGAAGAGATGCTAGCCGTTGGCTCTTGCAAGCTGATATAAGCTTATTCCAGCACACCACTGCAGCCACTTTTCAGATCTTCATTTTAGAGCAAGAACTGGTTGACAAACTGTAGCCTGTGGGCAAAAATCCAGCTCACAGTCTGTTTCGTGTAGTTTGCTAACATAGTCATGCTCATTGGTCATCTATGGCTGCCTTCAAACCATAACCATAGAGCATGTGGTTTCTTGATCTGCAAAGCCTAGAATATTTACAATACATCCCTTAACAGAAAGTTTGCCAACTCCTGCTGTAGAGGGTAGGAGACCAGAGACTATTGGCAGCCTCTAGACATTTACCCTTGAGTCAGTCTGGTACTTGAAGTACAATTTCCATTAGACGGCTGCAATGCATGATGGTCACAAAAGTCTACACTATTTTACTCCGCAAAAGTAACATTAGCTGTTTTAGTGGTTGTGTTTGTTTGTTTTTACTTAGCTTAGTTTGTCTTGGCAATTTTCAGTAGGAAAATGCATTCTAGATTCCACCTAACCAAGACACCCAGAGCTGTTGACAACTCCCCGTTACTTCCCCACAACCCTCTTGCAGAAGGAGGTTTGTCAGGGCAGCTCCACACAGGAGCTCAAGGAAGGATCAGAGTTCAGTTGGCCCAAGGCGGCAGGACAGGCTAGGTTCTCTTTGCGGAGTGTGCGGGAGAAACCGTTTGGGAGTCCCTCATGGTGATTTCTGGTGTTTGAGGTAATGGTCATAATGCATTGGGCGATTGTCACATCAATAATCAACATAATGCTGTGAGGAGGGCAGGGTGAGGATTATTATGCTCATTTCATAGATGAGTAAGTAGACTCCGAGACGAGTAACTTGACCAGTCACCCAGATTGTAAGTGGCAGACTTCCAGATGTTCTGACTCTAGTACAGAGCGATTTGCCCTGTCCCTGAGGGCTAAAAAGTGACTGTGCTTAGGAATCATCTGGGAAGGGACACCTGGGTGACTCAGTTGGCTGGATGTCGCGCCTTCAGCTCAGGTCTTGATCCCAGGGTCATGGGACTGAGTCCTGCATTGGGCTCCCTGCTCAGCGGGGAGCCTGCTTCTCCCTCTGCCTGCCACTCCCCCTGCTTGTGCTCTCTCTCTCTGACAAATCAATAAATAAAATACAATCTTTAAAAAAAAAGAAAATAGAATCACCTGGGAAGCTTCTGATGAATCTTGAGGGTATTGGGCTATGTGAAAAAAAGTCAGACAGAGAATGAGAAATACTGTATGTTATCTTTTTTTTATGTTGAAACTAAAAAAGCTAAACTCAGAGAGACAATGCAGACTGGTGGTTACCAGGGGCTGGGGGCAGGGGAAATGGGGAGATATTTGTCAAAGGATATAAACTTTCAGTTATAAGATTAACAAATTCTGGGGATCTGATGCACAGCATGGTGATTCTAGCTGATAATACTGTACTGTATACTTGGAAGTTGCTAAAAGAGTGTATTTTAAATGTTCTCACCCTACAAAATAATTATGTGATGGTATGGAGGCATTAGCTAGTGCTATGTGATAATCATCGTGGGGTATATAAATGCATCAAACCGATAGGTTGTATGCCTGAAGCTTATTTATATGTCAATCATATCTCAATAAAGCTGGAAAAAAAAATACAGATTCTCAGGGTTCACCCCTGAGATTCTGATCTAGACATTCTGAGATATAACTCAGGAATCTAGCTCCCTTGTTAAAAAGCCTTAAGTAATTCTGATTCAAGTATTTCTTTCTGATCCACATTTTGAGAAACACTGCTTCCTCCCATATATTTCATTAGAAAACAGTAATGTGCTTTTGTGATTGAGAACCATTTCTGAGTGAGTGGGTGCCAGCAGCCAACTGCACTAGCATTCAATCTGGCTGAAACATGCGACCCTAGGGATTGTCCCACTCCAGGGGACATGAGCCTGAACCATGGAGAAGATCCATTGCATGGCTCATCTGGTGACTGTGCACAGTTCCCAGCAGCAATGTGCCCAGCAGAAGACAGTGACTGAGAGATGCTTACTTGCACAGAGCTTGCATAGTGTGGGTTGGCTTGCTGAGCCCCCTGCTAGCTGACTCACTCATTACAGAAGGATTTGTGCCAGGCTCTGTGTTAGGTGACAAGGAGGAAAGGCTGAGCAGACTCAGATGCAGACTCTTTCCTCAAGTAGCTCATGGTCTGGTGGGGATATAGACATTAATCACACCAACAGCAAGTATAAATGGAGAAGTGGTGCCCAGTGCATGATGGGCGTGGGTTATAACCCAATCAGGAAATCAAAAGGGCTTATTTTTTTTTAAGATTTTATGTATTTATTTGACAGAGAGAAAAATCACAAGTAGGCAGAGAGGCAGGCAGAGAGAGAGGGGAAAGCAGGCTCCTTGCTGAGCAGAGAGCCCGATGTGGGGCATGATCCCAGGACCCTGAGACCATGACCTGAGCCGAAAGCAGAGGCTTAACCCACTAAGCCATGCAGGCACCCTTCAGAAGGGCTTCTTTGGGGAAGAGACACTTGAGCAAGATCACAAGAAAGAGTAGGTACTAGTTGGCTCAAGGTCTGTTTAGGTTCTGGACAAGGTTAGTCTAGGCTCTGCTGTCTGTCTGTGAGTGGTCATAATGAGTTTCCTTTATAGATATGAAAGAAAGCAAAGGTGGAGAAAAGGGAGAGACATGCACATTATGGAGCCACCTGCATCTCCTTATCCAGTAGGGACGGTTTACCACACCCCAAGCTGTGGTACCCTGATACACCATTGATATGCCTTTGGGCACC